TAATAATATTACTCAGATTTACATAACGAATAACATTTTTATCAATACATGTATATGTTATTGTCATAAACAGGATATATACATGTACGATGTATATGAATATATATCTTAATCATAAGTGTTTTTATCTGTTGACAGGACTTTTCATTTATTAAAGGAGAGCACAGCGTTTGTAGATCTCCAAAGCCAATATTCATCATGTCATTGAACATTAGAATTCACTTTAAAAAAAATCATAATTTAAACTCTCTTCAGGATTGTATTTATTTAATTTTATATAATTTTTAGCTGAAATAAGACTGCCCTGATGATGATTTTCCATGTTGCAACAATTCATTTCTCATTCTAATATCAGGACCTTTTATAAGCTATAATACTATACATTTATATGCAATAACAGTATGAGTTCTAATTTTTGAAAACTGACCTGTTATCATGGTTATTGACAATTTGGTCATTTGAGCGGGAGTCTGGGAGTCTCATTGAGCGGAAGTCTCCCGCTCAAACCAGGAGGGTTGGCAGGTATGGTTATTGTTTACATCCTTTACCATGTTTACATTTAGTCTTTTGGTTGATATTGGTAATCAAACAACACCACACTAAATTTATATTTACAATATTACAAAAGATAGTGCAAATGTACCTCATCAGAGACTGAATCAGAGAGTGAAACTGAAAGCAATTTATAATTTCATATTATGTAATTTTATTGCTTTCTTGATAAATTCATTTGATAGACTTTCACATATATGTTGCTTTTTACTTGATTATTCAGCAATAAATCTCTTTGTGTACATGATGTATGGCTACATATAGCTACATCATTTTTGCAGTGTTTCTTAAGCAATAAAAGGTTAACAACAAGGGGCATAACTCTAATATGTGATTGTTTTTTTTAAATTAAAATTGAGAATGGAAATGGGGAATGTGTCAAAGAGACAACAACCCGACCATAGAGCAGACAACAGCCGAAGGCCACCAATGGGTCTTCAATGCAGCGAGAAACTCCCAAATTACTTGCCGTAAAGTTAACATTTTAATGATTGCAAGCAGAATTAACACCAGTGTTACCACATTTTGATTCACCCAGTGGGCTGATAAAGGTTATGACCCTTGAACTCATCCAATCATCTTCTGAGATATAATTGGTCCAGAAAGGGTTAAATTGCCAAAGAATTAGAGAAACCTATTTTATGTCAGCTTTATGTTCTACAATGAACTGGCACATTTTGCATGTTTTGTATGACCTAATCTATTAAAGTTGACATTTGTGCAAATTGTACAAAATCTGTACTTTCATCCAGCTTTATCCATTAGTGCAAAAACAAATTTAAAGTGTCGGACATGTCAAAATAAATCTGTTTCACTTAAAATAATGTTAATTTTTTTCTCAGTCAAGAAGATGAAGAATACTGTAAATTCAGAAATTATTGCATGCATTTATTATTGCGATTTTGTCATTTTAGACTAAAATGCGATTTTAATTTTTGCGATATTGAGAAAAATCCTGTTTAATTCATATAAAAAATTTCAAAATGCGAGTTTAAATTATGGCGATTATAACCCTGTCGCATTTTTCGCAATAATAAAACATCGCAATAATTTCTGAATTTACAGTACATACATGTACATGTATTATGTACATGTAGGTCAAAGACGAGTTTCCAATTTTGATTTTATGAATAAACTGCCAAGTTAATAACCTGGGGTCATTCCAGAAAAGGCTTCATTGGACATTGTACGTGTTGTAACATGTAGACTGATATTTTATATTTTATGACCTCGAATTTCTGGGGAAAAAGCACCAGTTGGAAAATCGTGTATTGACTGATGGACACCTGTGACTATGTAGGGTTTTTAAGTTTACATACATTGTACTTGATAAAATTGAGAATGGAAATGGGGAATATGTCAAAGAGACAACAACCCGACCATAGAGCAGACAACAGAACATGTAATGCACCATGTGCACTGTACATGCTGTATCTGAGTTATAAAATATATTAATTTACTTAAATATAAGCCACATTAGAAATTAAAATTTATATTTTGATGAAATCAGATTTCGGGTGGCCTACATTCATGACATTCACAAATTAAATGACATTACAAAAAACATTTAGTTTTAAATGTGGCCCTAATTTGATTAATTGATTGGTACTTTTGCTTAAGGATTGCCCAATTTGAAAGTATACAAATATACATGCAGCCCAGTCAAATACAAATACAAAATGAATGAGATGCTGTACAAAAATGACCACATAGCCAAGAGAATTTTGTTTTTCAGTGGAAAATGCTTAGTACATTTGAGTACAAACATGACAAATACTGAAAGAAAACCACAGCTTATCAGTAAATCAAGAAAATGAAGACATCTGTTATGTAGAAAATTGGTGAACTTTTAGTATCTACATTCTTTGTAATGAGGCATAACAATACTGTTATTTATATCACTGGCTATATAATATACATGTAATCAGTGGAGATGAAGAAAGGCTGTGCAGAGGATGTGCCAATTGCATCCATTGGGGCTACATTGTGGTATTATTTCAATATACATTGTTATACATGTGTAGAACATGTACATGTACCATAAAATTGATTGATTGATTGTTGATGTTAAATGCCACTTTCAGAATTTTTGGCTATATCATGTATATCAAGGGCTTGGGTGGCAAGTTTTCATATGGAGGAAATCAGAATGCCTGGTGAAAACCACTGTCCTTTTAATGGAAAACTGGCAATCCTAGTCAATTAAGATCAGAGTCGACCGCACCGGGTTTCGAACTCACAACCTCAGTGTTGACAGGCTAGTGATACTGTAGATGTTCTACATGTACTTAGACCACTTGGCCACTGATGCCCCTTCCATCAATTTGATAATAAAAAGAATTCTGTATACTATACATTTCTAGGGTAACAATAATTCTCCCAAATGTCATTGCACCATATATACATATAATTGCTTTGTTTATTCAAATTCTGGGAAAACGGAGTTAATTCCCTTTATTAACCATTTCTGCAATGTACATGTACATGTAAATGTGTAACATCCTCTTGTTCATATTTTAAATAAATGTAATGGACCACCTTACTTATATCATTAATATTTTAGTGAACCGGAATCAGCATCATGTCACCCGTATCTGTTTCAACTGAAAGAATATTTTATACAGTTAATGTATCTACATGTATCTAGACCATGTAGACTGTATAAAACATTGTAAAATAAATAATTGAATGATTTTTCATTGCTGTCACTGTCTATTTTTTTTTCTTTTAATCCAATTTCAAAATTCAGTTTAATACTGAGGGACAGTTCATGAGTTTATATGCCATTTGGATTTGGGGGGTGGGGGTAGAGGATGTCAGTCTTCATCATGAACTTTTATATCTACAGGCCTGCAGCTCATTTTTTTGAAAATATTAGTTAGATTCTGTTGGCCTGTAGAGATGATTTTTATAGGCCCAGGAGCAATTTTACAAGCCTGGGCTGCGTGAAAACTGGGATATACATTTGTACACCCCCATGAAAAAAATATTAATAATTGTTGGATAAATTTGTGTTGGAACTACATCATGTACATGTACATTTTGATATTTAAATCATTTAAAAATTATGCACCCTCCTCCCCCCCTCCCCCCTTTCCCTCAGACCACCCCTGTAGATATTTTTGGTAATTTGTGGACATGAAAAATAAAATAAATACACCACCATTTGAGCTGGGACTGTCTGAAACTGTAAATATTGTTTTTTTTTTTTTTTTAAAGTACACATGTATATAATACCCGGTATGTGTATCTCTTTGGTCTTAATTGTCTCATTGGCAGTCATATGATCACATTGCCTTATTCTTATATCAAGGATATTATATTCTTTATCTTATACAATGTACATTATTGCACATTATTTAAAGACTCAAATTTCCCTACATTTACTTTAAATTTATTACAATGTATAAAACAAAAAAACAGAAAAAGAGAAGAATAGTGTCCTATTACATGTACATGTATTATATTTAAGCGATATTGGAACTAACTTTTTTATTTGCTGATATTTGAAATCTTTTATTTTCCTGTTTCATTTTATTTGTATTCCAGATTTATACACATGTGTGTCATGTATGTTTTTGACAAGACTATCAAATGGCTGTACAGCTAAATATTTACATAATACATGTACATGATGTAGTCAAAACAATTATGACGTCTTGGAAGGCTATTTTAAATTTTTGCTTTGACACCTTCCTGCATTGATGTAAGGCGTCAAAGAAAAAAAATATAATAGCCTTTCAAGACGTCATAATTATTTGGACTAATAATACATGTAATAAGAATGAATATTGTTATCTTTATCATCTGCGGGAAATATTAGTTCTTGGTTTGTACGACATACTATATTGTTCTTAAAAACGTAAAATATGAAATAACTATCATAGTTAAATTTAAGTAAACAAAGGCCTTTAAATAAACATGTTAAAAATAAAAACTATACAATTTATATATTCAGAAAATCAAACCATTTCATCCTGCCATTCTGGAAAGTAAATATATCTCTACCTGGTTGATAGGTTAAGTGTTTAATGAACAGGAACAAAATAGGCCAGTGTGTTTGTATTGTTGTTAATTTACATTAATGATGGAAAACACATCGACTTTAAATGTATTTTAATTCTTAACTTAATTGGTAAATTATTATTTAATTTGTCAGATCAGTAACATACAATAATCAAACTGGTTTTAAAGAATATTCAATTGTTCCCGTCTGTTTTATTAACTAACAGATTTGCCTTACATTGGATAATAATTAACTTGTGTTTTATCGTGTAACACCGTGTTTATGGCATGTCAGAAGCGACAAAGGTTTTTTTAATACACATGACATCACGCTTATGATATACTCAAGAAGTCTCATCGTACTATAATCTTTCTATTAAATCCTAGGTATAATATTACATAACAATTCATATTAAAATATCGTGTACACCTGTTTTTCTCACCTGGAAATCTTTGGTTGAATTCTTTTTGACTATCCCCTGATAATTCCTCCGAAAATTCGTACAAAAATAAAAATATCACAGAAATATAAATCACAAATTTATGATACAGCCAATTCATTTTGAATATGAAGTAATCCACATAATTAATAAATAAATCCCTCTTAATTATATCCACTAGCCAGGGTCAGCGAAGTACATCACTAACGTGTAAAACTTTAAATAACTTCGTTTAGTTCTTATGTCAAAACTATATTGTGTACTGCCTTCGTAAGCAACCTTGAACCTTTTCAAAGATTAACCAATGAGGGGAAATCAAAACAATAATTTCTATAGTCTGTTTCAAATTTGTATTTATTTAACATTTTACGATTTGTAGTATAAAAGTAATCATGTTATTCCTTGAAGTCTTAAAGTAATTCTGAGCTCTGTAAAATTGTAGCTAACAGAAAATTACTAGCTTCAGTACAAATACGCGCATAATATGTTATTGATTTTGACAGGAAGTTTTGCATTGTACAAATTGATTTTTAGATAAGAAATGTTATTATCGTCATCGACTCGACATGGAATCTATTTACATTTATAAAACAAGGGATATTAGATTTAATTATCAACAAATTGCTGCAATTAAAAAAGTATCAAACGTATTTATTGATCGCTTGAAAATGGAATTTTTTTGTCATAGCTTAACTCTAGTACAACGTTTACTTTGTCAGTTGGGTAAATTAGTCACGATGCTCACAGGTATTATCCTTATTTATGATTCTGAAAAAAAATGTCTTCAAGCAAAACTATAAAGGAAGTCAAATCTCTGAAACATATAATTAAAGAAAGAAATTGTAATCATTATAAAAACCTCTATAGAATAATATTGAAAACCTATCATGAACAAAATAAACCTTTTCTCTACAAGAGAACTCGTAAACTGATTACCAAATTTACAATATGTGATCATAATCTGAAACTTGAATTGGGTAGATATTTATAAAAAAAAAAGTACCCCGAAATCTGGGAGAACTGTCTTAAACTGCACATGAGAAGTGTTTCTTAACTAGGTGATGTGAAATCGCACACCAACGATTCTACGCCATCTAATATCCGCGACTGTACTTTGGAGTGCATTTCATAGAACCACTTCATAAACAGTACAGGAAGACTCAGGATTTAATTTTTATGTAATGAATGTTATATTTTGATAACGACTAAAACGTATCGAAAACTGGATAAAACGTCAAACGTCATGCACATGTTGCTAACTTTTAAATCGTTTAATGAATCAGTATAGTTACAACCATGCGGGCGTTAGTCCAATTAGGTGTATACAATTTACACCATGATATCAGATGCGGATCCAAAATTTTAAAAAAGAAAGGGGTTGGGCAAAGTAGGCAACGTCTGGAGTGGGACTTGTTAAAAATCCAAATATGTAGATCCAAAAAGGGGGGGGGGGGCGTGGGGATGCCTCCCCCTAAATTCGCCTCTGGATATTTCGGAGAATGCAAATAATTTAGAGGGAGGATATTTTAGCAATTTTATCTTATGGTAACACATATTTAATGAAGGTTATTAGCGTACAGTTTGTCGTATCATATAGTGTTATTGAGAAAGTATGTTATACCAAGTTATTTTCTTTTAAAAGAATATCGATGTTATTTATACAACAAACAAATTAATCTTCCATTTTGACTCAATAGGCTTATTCATATTTAAATCTGATTATAATTTGTAAGTCTGAGCTGCTGATTAATATCTATAAAATTACAACACATGCAATGCATACACTATAATTCGATACAATACAATAAGCTTTATTTGAGTCGGTACATTTTAACATACAAACATAAGCTCTTAAGAGTTTTTATAACCGACAAGAAACATATAAATACAGTAGTAAAACACACATTTTATAGTTAATAAATCTTTGATGTTAAATAACACCCATAAGGGTCTTTAAAGCAATTACAAATAAAATACATACATGTAAGAATACAACGAATTAACAATTAACTTTATACAATACACACAAGACACTTATTGTGCATTTGAAACACAAACCACTGGATCTGCTTACTCTCCGGAGCACCTGATATCACCCCCAGTTTTTGGTGGGGTTTGTGTTGCTCAGTGTTAAGTTTTCTATGTTGTTTTGTGTACTGTTGTTTGTCTGTTTGTCTTTTTCTTTTTAGCCATGGCGTTGTCAGTTTATTTTAGACTTATGAGTTTGAATGTCCCTTTGGTATCCTTCGCCTCTCCTTTTCCAAATAACTACAGTAATTAAAAGCTAGTCTATATAAGTATTAGCAGTACGATATTTATGAGAAGTATAGGAAATTTACAACATTGTATAAGAACTAATGTTTTAAGGAGTAATAGCATTAGCGAACAAATGTAACTATAACAAAATTGGAGATAAAATTGTTTTTACCTATTTACCTTAGTAAACTAAAAAAAAAAAACACGACACATTTGAAATCTTAAAGATTCTTCCATTTTGATACGAGGTTGTTAATAATGACTTTAGGGGGATTATGTTTCCGGAGTGGATTTTTTTAATTGACGGTAATTCCAGAAAACCGTCCGGCCACGGAATTCCACTAAAAGAGATTAGGTCGTTAAACGCTTTCTCGTAAAATCTAAACATGGTTTATTTATTGTCTATTTCCAGCTTCCAATTACATTTTGTTTTCGTTGTACCAGGTTAATTGTTTGTTTTTTACTTCCGCAATGCAAAGAAAACGTTATTTGTGCTTTGGCAAATTTTTCTGTATTCTTTACATTTTTTGCCCGTTATTGTGCCTTTTTAACCCATTATTCTTTATTCTGTAAACCCCATCCAGACCCTAAGTAAGTACATTGTCAACTATATTTTGATTCGGCACATTGACAAACAATTTAAACGTAATTAAGCTCTGATGAGCTTTTCACCAAATATATTTAGACTCTAATATGATCTAATATGTAATCTTCGTCACCTTTCTACATAGTTCAGCAATCCTTCAACTACAAAAGTGAAGAAATACAAGTATTTAACATGATATGTTGGCTATCGTTAAAATATAAGAGATAATCTAGCATCTAAGGTACTTGTAAGTAAAACTAAATTGCTTCAGTCGATACATGAGGGTCTGGGTGGGGTTCTCCTTTCAGTATTCGTTAATTTTAAGGGCATTTTTCTCTAATCATTATTTTGTTTGCGCATTATTCTATTTCTTTATAGTTCAGCACCCCATTGTTCTCTATTTTATTATTGTTTGGCCTATTTTTCTCTTTTATTTATATTCCACCCTTTATTCTGCACCTTTTTGCCCATTACTCTCTGAATATGTAAACCCCACCAAGACCCTCATATATTTGAATGAAATCAATCATTTGTATCCGATTAAAAAAAAACAGATAAAAGAGACTTGTCTATTGATCCCAGTGTGCACATCCGTTTCCTTTTCAATCTTACATTTTTAAATAGTACAACTAATGTTTTAACGAAGAACATATTGTTAACGTAACAAGCCTTGTACAGATATAGAAGGGGGTCTGGATTAGGGGGAAGGGTGTCCTTCAATTCTGTAATCTTTAGTTTTTTAAGCAATTTTCTCAATTCTTTAATAATTTTGTCAATTATTCTCTATTCCTTATACTGTAAAATCAGAAATTATTGCGTGTATTTATAATTGCAATTTTTGAGGAATCATAGTGACAAAAATGTGAGATTAATAAGTGCGATTTCAGGAAAATCTGTCTAGATAGATATATATATATATATATCAGATATCAGAATGCGAGTTCCTATTATTGCGAAACTCACCCAGTCGCATATTATTCACATTAATAAAAACCTCCAAATAAGTTCTGAGTTTACAGTATCCTAGCCCCCCCCCCCCCCATAATTCTCTATTCTAAAGTAAGATTATAACACACCATAATTCTCTATTCTTTATATTTTAGCACCCCATGATTCTCTTTTCTTTTCTTTTTTTTACCATGTTTCTGCAGTATTGGCCCGTTATTCTCTATTCTGTAAACTTCATCCAGACCCTCAATAGAGAGTTGGTATAAAAAGGTCAATTTGTTCTTTTAGATGGCTAAACACTACTTCCCTTTTCGTCTCATATATATTTGTAAATTAGTGAGTGTTCGATGAACATAAAAACATGGAAACAGTAATGATATAAATGTCAATTTATTCGTCTGGACGCGAGTGGGGACATATTGACATAGACCAAGATAATTATGCATAGAACAGAAAATGAAGAAACACAATCAATGTATAGAAAAACCATATGACGAGACTAATACCTAAGTTAATTGAATCAAACAACAGAGACTTGATCAAAGAATGTCCTCTTATACTCTATCCATCCTTGAACTTTTTGTTGAATTCACAAACGACAAATTGCATAATGTTTTCATGAAAAGTAGTGTCTTGGTATTCACAAGGCTCCACAACGGCAAACAAATAGTGAAGAAGAATAAGCGCCTTTAATTAGAACAATACTGACAGGAAACAGAAACGCGTTTTTAACAAAATGTCTTTCTTGAATTTAAAATCTTTTATTTCGTACGTTATGATATCAGATTCAGTGACACCTCTTTTTAAGTTTTAAATGTAAGAGTTTTTGTGAACTAATTGTTCTTTTGCCCCCCCCCCCCTAAAAAAACAACCCAAAATACAAACAAAAAACGAAAAAAGCAAAACAACAACAGTTTTAATTGCTAATCTTAAAGTACACACACTTAAATACTATGATTTGTTGTAGATATTGAAAAACCTTTTTAGTAGTGCCTGGTGCGAAATTCATTCATTGGAAAATGGTGCACAATTTTTGTCATTAAATGATTTTATATCGTTACAAAATAGACAAGGAGGGGTTATCTTAATGAAATATAAAATATATGAAATTTTTCTATATTTATAAGATGGTCGATTATCTATCTTTTTCAGATGGTCGATTATCTACACGTCAGCAATATAAATGGACTTTGTTGGATGTAAAGATACGCTGCCACGCCCTGTCTGTGTTTTCGTTAGACGTTTTCTGCTTTGTATCGATCTGATAAGTTATAAGCCCTTTTCAACTGATTTTTATAGTTTTATCTTATGTTGTACAGTTACACTACTGTCCCAGGTTAGGAGGAGGGTTTGGCGCCAGCAAACTAGTTTATCCCCGCCACATTCTATATGTGCCTGTCCGAAGTCAGGAGCCTGTACTTCAATGGTTGTCGTTGGTTCTTGTCTGTCATATTGTTTTTCGTAAATTGTTTTGTTATAAATATGGCCGTTAGTTTTCT